ACAGCCCGACGGTCAGAGCTGTGGAGGTAATGAAGTCTGTATTGCATAAAATACACATAACATAAGATTCACCATTTTAATCATTTTTAAGGGTACAGTTCAGTGCCATCTTGTACACTCATAATGTTGTGTGACCATCTCCAGTATCCAGAGCTTTTTCATCACCCCCAAAAGAAACTCTGCACTTATTAACCAATAACTCCTCAGGGTCCCCTTCTCCATTCCCTGATTACATCAATAGACCACTTCCTGCCTCTATGAATTTGCTTATATTCTAGGAGAATCAATATTTGTCTAATATAAGTAGAATCATTATTTGTCCTATTGTGTCTTGCTTATTTCACTTAGTATGTATTTAAGTTCACTCATGTTGTAACCTGTACCAGAACTTCCTTTCTTTTTAAGGCCAGATAATGTCCCATTGTTTGAATACATCACGTTTCGTTACCCATTCATCTTCATGGACTCCTGGGCTGTTTTCACCTTTTGGCTGTTGTGGCTGATGCTGCTGTGAACCCTGGTATGCAAGTATCTGAGTTTGCATCTCATGGGGGTAAACCAGGAAAGGAACTGCTGGGTTATATGGTAAATTCTGTGTTCAGTCGAACTTTCTGAGGGACTGCCATACCGTTTCCCACAGTGACTGTGCCGTGGGACATTTCTGCCAGCAATGCATGAGGGGGTCTCAAGTTTTCTATCCTTGCTGATGCTTGTTATTATCCTCTTTTGGGGGGAATTACAGGAGTTGACTAACGAGAAAACATTAAATTTAGCATGCTCCTTTTGTGGGGCTGAAGGGTTTTTGGCATGGAGTAAATATACTTGTCAGTTCACGGCCACACCTGGGTTCTGTGTCAGGACTGATTCCGAAGTGAGAGCCATTTAGTGTTTATACTTTCTTATTCCTTCCAGCTGATCTGAGTTAGTCAGTCCTTCATGGGTCATTTTTGCCCCTTTCGAATGGAATTATGATGCCAGAGTGAATAAAATAAATGTCATGTTATCTTCACAACTCAGTAATAATCTGAAAAGGTTATAGTGGTTACTTCATAGCAGTTGTCCCCCAAAATATAGGACAGTATTTTAGGCTAAAATGTGATTAGGAGGGTAGCCATTAATTGTCTTGATGCTTTGTCCTAAAGAGTAAGATTTTTCCTTTGTTAAATCCCTTTTCTTTTTAAATCCCATCACCCTGACCCCTGTTCAGTAGCTCCCTCTCTCTTCATGGGTTCCACCTGCAATCCTAGCCCCTTGGGTAGAAAGAATATAAGAGGAGCAGCCCAAGTTGATTAGATAGGATCAGCATTGCATTAAACAATTACTCTTACATTAAGAATTCATCAGGAATTCCAATGAGCCCATTTTAGATAACATAACTAAATTATTAATTCTTCATTAGAGGTATGGAGTCAGTGATCTGACAAGTCATGACCTTGGGGGGGGGTCTGGGTTTTTCACACACACCCAGGCTCCTGTAGCATCCCTCTTGGGTTACAGCTTGTTGTAGTCATTGGTCAGCCACTGAGCTTGACTTGTAGTCATGTTTGGATTATTCTCCTTCTGGGCTAGGAAAGGCGTACTTTTACTTTAGGTTGCTGTGGATTTGGAGGAAAAACATTTTCCTGGCAATGCCTTCAGGGAACTCTATTCCTTCCTGCTTAAAAAAAAAAGAAAAACACTCTTCTAGTTCCATGACTCATATGCTAAGGGTTCCTGCCATCTGGCTTTGAGGAAGTAGCAGCACCTCATTTAAATCCTGCCAGTTACACCTGTGAGGTGTAAGCCTTTTTCATCATCATGCAGATGTCCCATGGCACAGTAGGCCCTAACACTTGACATTCTGAATTCGGTTCTGGCTGTCCTGACAAGTGACACATCCCCAAGAATGTTGCCGGGGTAACACAGATCAGCATTCTGCACTCGGGTCCCCGTATTGTGGTTTCTGCTGAACTATCTTCACGTGCATGGGGATTCTGTGGAGGCAGGCGCTGCCTATTCCAGCACACGGCAGAGATTCCACGTGGTGAATACCCAGTGAGCTTCTGACACATGGCCCACAGGAACAGGAATCCTCCAGTGGGTTTCGGGGCTTTCTCTGACCTTTGGCTCTCTGTCGCTAGATGTAGATGAGTGCTCTATGGCGTACAGTCCCTGTGACCAGCTGTGTCATAATACGCCAGGCTCTTACTCCTGTGGGTGTACTCAAGGTTACTGGCTCTCCAATGGCACCGACTGTCGAGTTGTAGGTGAGTTCCAGTCCCCAAAGCAAAGCTTATCTTCTGCGCCATTCTTAGCAGTAATTATAGGTAAAAGTGATACAGATGGTTCACTTCAAGGTCTAGTGATAGAAATGACTTTATGCTTCCCATAAGAAAGCGGCTATGATAACATGCCTTGGCCAATCTGCGTGTCCATTGCTATTAAGTATCTTTCAAATGACTTAGTTGTTATATCTACTGTACGCCTAGGCATTCCGAAAATCCAATCAGTGCACTCTTACCTTGGCCTGTGCTTCTTTAACAATGGGACCCTTAATTACTTTGGCTGCTATGTATAAAGCTTAGAGTGGACCTCTGTCTAGGGGTGGAAGAGGGCTAAATCTGAAATCAAATAAGGCGGAAGTTCCACAGGTCTGTTTTAGTGTGCTGGAGTTCAGAGGAGGGGCTGAGACATATAGTGGTCAACGAGACCTCCTCTGGATACGCCTTAGTCCAGACCTCAGGGATAAGTGGATGTTGGCCTGGGAAATGGGGCATCTTTGGCTAAAGAGAACGGTATGAAAGAGAGTGTCAAGGTAATATGTCCTTTTCTCTTCTCCTTCTACTGCAGATGGTGCTATTAGAATTTTGATAGCAGCAGATCGAGAAGTTGGTGTCCTAGATCAAAAAACAGGCATCTATGAGACTCTGATACCTATAAAGTCAAGGCCTACTTCTGTTGCCTATGACCTTGAGCGAAGCATGTACTTTTGGGTAGATGAAGTCTTAAATGTGTTTGTCCCTGGAAAACCAAACTTTGTTCCTCTCTATCCAGGTATATTTCTTGATGTTAAGAGCCTTAATTTCTTAAAGCTACTTAAACATAGGGTAAGAAATGTATGTATTCATCTGGATACATTCCTCTGTTTCACTTATCATGAATCATGACAGTACCTAAAATCCCAATTTAAGATAAGACTTTGTAGTTTGTATGCTCTACAAGAGCTTTGTAGAATTAAATGAAGTTTTGGAACATGGGCTCAGGCCAAGGTTAGGTTCAGCCCTATTCACTTGGTCTGTGACTCTGAGTAAGTTGTTAACCCCTGTGAACCACCTTCATAAGATGAGGCCAATAGCACTTGCCTCACTGTGTCAGCGTGGGGGTTAAACGAGACAGTGCATGTGAAGAAGTGTTTAGCATAGTCCTGGGCGTGTGGAAGTCCTGTGATAGCAATGAAGAGGTAGAGTTTGTGACAATTCACCTAAGATTTCTGTAATAAGTATTACAGAACCCAAGCTGAAATCGCATTCTCTTGGGTTCCTTGATTATGCTTCTGCTAAGGTCCTTCTCTCTCCCTACTGCCTGGTGCGCAGGAGAAGAACCTGCAGTCACTCCCTGTGTGTCCTCTGTGCCTCACTGAATAGCTTGAAATCAGAAGCTGTAGAAAAGTCCTGTCCGAGTCTCATTTTTCAAGCTGAGATGGGTACAGAAGAGTGCAGGAACATAACACTGTCTCCTGTGTCCCCAGAACTTAAAACAGTGAACAGTGTCTCTTTGGACTGGTACACGGGACAGTTGTACTGGGCCAGCAGCTTTGCAAGGGTCATCTGTGCTGGTTTAAGTGATGGCAGAGGCTACGTCAGGATCTTGGAAAAAGATCTCATGCCAGAGCAACTCATCGTGTTTCCTGAGAAGAAGTAAGTAGTGTTTCTTTTGGAGTGAATCCAAAATCATTGCTTACCTTAGATATTTAAGTTGATAAGAGAACACTTCAACCTTTTCAACCTAGGTCTCAGTTGCTCTAAAAATAATTCTCAGTTTTGAAGTCTAAATTGAACATATGGAGCCAAACTTTTCAAAGTGTAAGAGCAGAAATCTTTAGCATTCCTAGCAGGGCAGCGACGTGAGGCCTGTAGGAGACGGCTGAGGGGGCCTGGCTGCTCAGAACAGCGTATGCACACCTGCGGGGTTCTCTAATGCCTTGCGCTTTGGCTTTTCCCAGGTACTTGTACTGGGTAAATGGAGGTCAGAGAGGCATGAGGACCATCGAAACTGCAGGGATGGATGGCTCCGATAGGAAGGTGCTTGTAAACCTGGAGGAGCCTGTGGGACTGACACTTGACCACGTGACCGGCAGGCTGTACTGGATCAGTAAATATAAAGAGGTACAATAGAGAGGTCTGGAAGCAAAGGTAAACCCTTTTAGCTGGGGCTTGAAATGACTACAGGTAAGTACAAAATTCTCTTAAGGCTCGTGTCAGCTCTGTGAAGCATCTTCTGGCTGTGAAAAGTGAGAAAGAAGAGCAAGTTATAATTGACCAGGATTTTTGTGCAGATCTAGACTAGATCAACATAGGCTGGGAGTCATAGTGGGGTTGTCTTAAACGCCCTACAGTGAAACGCAGCACTGAAGTTTCCTGGTGGTATAGGTCAGGTTCTACGTTGTGCCTAGGACACCAAACCTCTTAATATGGCAGACCACTTCTTGAAAGCATGCAGTTACTCAGGTACTTCAGTGCCTTGTACTTGTATTTCTAGTTCTAAATATAGTTCGTGTTATTGTACTTTTGGAAGCATTTCACTGAAGGACACAGTGGCTAAAGCACGGGCCTGGGAGTCATGTTTTTAAGCCTATTACTGCTGGCTGTGATTTTGCCTACTTACGGTTCTTCATTACCCTCTCTGAAAAGAGAGAGGATCTGACCTCAGAGGGCAGTTGGAAACTATCAGGAAGGGATGTAGTACAATGTCTGGATACAAATAGTAAGTTATAGTAGCTTCTTGTACAACATACATTTGTACAAGAAGCAGTTCCATACACTGGCTTTGGCATTCGCCACCATGAATCCCCCAGATGAGTCCATCTCCAACATGTTGAATATCATGTGATATTCAACATGGTATTTAATCAGTGTCCAAGAAACTGAGGTACACTAATAGCATCAGCTAATGCTTCCCTGCTCTCACGAGACTCTCCAATGCTTCAGTCCATAGAGACAGTTAACGTGGATGGCAGCGGGAGGCACACCTTCCCTGAGATCTTCTCGGAGGATGACGGTCCAGCAGGACTAGCTGTATTTGAGAACTCTTTTTTCTGGGCAAATAACACACAGCTCTTTCATACTTCACCTCGTACCCCAAAGGAGAGAACAGTGCTGCTAAATGCTTCTGTATCTGCTTTCTCGGTGCTCCACAAAGCCCAGCAGCCTAAGGGTAAGTCCAAGGGCTCGCTTTTGAAATGCTTATAAATCAGCATGTCTCCTAAATAGTAAATAGAAAGTACCTAAGTTTCTATCATGGTCTGTCATTGGAACTTGCTCTTTTGAGGCAGGGGCAATGTTCTGGGTATGATTCCAGACTCACACAGGACTCCTCAGGAAGAAGGATTGAACAAAAACATCGACTGAGAAACTCATCCCAGACCGGTACCCTGGGCTTGCCTAGTGCTGTGCCAGGCTTTTAATGTCTGAAGTACACAGAACAGGGTCATAAGCTGTTCACAGAAGGGCTAGAATAGCTTATTCGCTGGCAATGACAACCAATAGCAGAAAATGGACGAAGCCCAGCATTCTGCTTATAGAAGGATGTCAAAGATTCGTTGACTAGGAGTTAAAACTCTTTGTTAATCTGAAATTATATGTCAGGCTCTACCTGGAGAATGTTTCTCATTTGGGTCCAAGAAACTTACCAAAGTGGGGATCCCAGACCACCGTTCACATCTAAGGGAGTCTTCCTCTAAGCAAACTAAAATGACTTCCTATAAGGCAAGTCATTTTGCCTTAACTCTGAGAGAGAAGATGTTGTTTGTTGAACCTCTGTTGGCCTAAGCTGACTATTGACTATACGAGAGACAGGAGACCGTGAGTGTTCGAAGGTCAGCTTGCCTCACCTAGAAGGTAACGAGTATATTGGGATTCCTCCTGTCGTTAAAATGGCTAACCTCCACCTGAGTATTATTCATCTTTGAACTAGTGTGGATAAATGCATCTGAAATTGAATCTAATCTGTTTCTGTCTTAAAATAGGCAGATACTCGGCCTGTGTTCCAGGTTCTTGTAGCCACTTATGTCTCCTGTCCCCTGTCCATCCCAAGGGCTACAAGTGTGTTTGTCCAGAGGGCATGTCCCTTCTACCTTCTGGCACATGCAGCGGTAAGTCCGCCGGGTGAGACGGGCCTGGCTCTCGCAGGCAATGCTCTGTGGTGGTCCTGGAAATGACATGGCTTCCGTTTTTGGCTCAAGCACGTTTATATTGACAACTGATTTTGATAATGTTTGCTATCAAAAGACCTCAGTTAGGTTTTTTGCAGGGAGGGACTAACATATACATAACATAAAATTGTAACCATTTGAAGTGGACAGTTCACCGACACCAAGTACAATCACATTTTCATGTAGCCACCTCACCATCTACTTCCAGAATTTTTCATCTCCCCAAACTGAAACTCTACACCCACTATACCATAACTTCCATTTGTCCTTCTCTAACCCCTCCCTGGCCACCAGCATCTTAGTTTCTGTTTCTGAATTGGCAGCTCTGAGTACTTGGGGTAAGTGGAGCCATACGGTATTTTTCCTTTTGTGATTGGCTTATTTCACTTAACATAATGTCTTTGAGGCTCATCTACACTGTAACATGAATTTTCTTTCTTTTTAAGGCTGAATTATATTCCGTTATATATACACATACATTCTGTATTGTGTTTATTCATTTATCCATCAATAGCTTTTGGGGTTTGATTAGTTTTATAACAGGAAAAAAATTGCTTCCACTGCTCAGTTTTGCATGAAAAACAACAACTAAGTTGGAAGAAGAAAGAAACCCTCTACAGTCTTGACTGTGGTGTGTTCTGATTTATGTTTGAAAACAGAGTGTCCACTTCAATATTGTGAACACAGTCCTTCATGTGGCTGCTCCGTCTTTGCAGTATTCAAGGCTACACAGTCATTGAACCTCTCTATCCAAATGACCTGAAATGACATAAATGCACTCGTGCTCTACCTTTAAACAGCACAGTTCACGGGGAGCCCTGAGATGCAACCATGTTGTGACAAGCTGGTGTGCCAAACCTGAGACTTCGGCTTAGACTGTAGCTTGAACATTGTGTATGCAGTTCACCACTCAAGTAACTTTTCTTTCAGTGGGCAATAGAGTTTGCAGTTCTTTGTACTGAGACTTATATGCTATGAGCAGGGACTCGATGGTGTCCCCCGATCAAGCGGAGCAGCCCCCCAGTTGTAACGCTTGGGTTTCTGTGTTCACCTCACAGCAGAAATTCAGAGGACTCAGTGCCTTGGGAAAGCTGAGCTTCTCTTGCCCAAATGAGTCCTTCTCTGAGGAAGCAAGGGCATTCTTGCTGTGTGTGTGGTTCCAGAGGGAACGTGATTAAGGTCCCTTTTCAGGGGTGCCTCAGCTAAAGAGGGAGTGTCACTGAAGACGGGAGATTGGGGCTTATCTAATGAACGATCGACAGAAAATCTCTCCTTTTCCCTGGTAGACTTAAAACTAGTGTTTTCTTCTGGCAAACGTCTCTACTTGTTGAAAGTTGGTTTTATGGGAACTGCGATAGAGAGAACCCTAGTTCAAGAGCATCTTAGGAACATCTATTTTCTGGATGTTGACTGGAAGAGAAACCTGGTCTACTGGACCACTGCTGAGGGGCATCTGTTCTGCTCCACCGGCTACTCGGGAGAGAAGCAGGAGATTTGGACAGAGCGGACAGGTAAGGCGGGTGGCTGTTCTGCATTTGTCCTTTATTTTCCGGCACCAAAATTTTAAAAAGGCCAAAAACTCCTACCTGTTCCTGATCTGAATCAAACTTAATGCCAAACAGTGGTTTTTAACTAATCGAAATATTCTGTCTCTGATTTACCCTCGTTCTTATGAGAGGTGCTCAGACTGTAAAAAGGCTACCATAATTTGGGAAGTCCTGGGGTCAATAATAAGGTTTAAAAAAATTTATTTTCTGGCCTTAAGTCTGAATAGGATTGATATGGACCTTAAATACTTCAATTTTGCATTGCAGATTTTCTTACACTGATTTAGAAGTAATTTGCAATGCAGATTTCAGAGGACTCACAAGATATTTTCTTACTATGGTAATATATACTTTCTCTCCCTTCCCACACTCCTAAATACCACACTCCACCCCGTCGCTCCCTGTTCTCAGGCTAAATGTAAACACCTCCTTTATTGAAACTGAGACCCGGACTCGCGGGTGAGGGATTTGATCTCTGGCTGGGTGTGCCCCGTGTGCCCCGAGTGCGGAGGACGTGCTTCACTGGAAGGAGCACTGCACGGTGCCCGAGGTACCACGGAGCAGCCGGCCCTGCCCAGAGTCCTGCGGGCAGCCCAGCGCCTGCACCTAGGAGCTCCGGGACCGGACCCGGAGAACTTTCCGGAGAAACGGGAATGGGCAGTGGCCCGTCACACAGCTGATGGCTGTTAGGAAACCCCTGATCGTGAATGACTTCTACTTAATCAAAATGCTGCCTTCCCCCAGCTGTGTTACAACGATCATACCAAGGAACTGTAAGAGGCTGACGGTTTCGTTTGAGCTTCCTCTAGTGTTGAATGCTCACTCCCTGTGGCGGGCGGCTGGGGAATCATTTATGTATGTGTATGTCTCTGCCCCCGGTTCCCGGAACAGAGCTTCTAAGACCTTTGCTAATTTCTTGAGCCCCTGGCACATCTGACACAGAGCTCCGAAATTCCTTGGGTGATGAGATCTTTTGTTACCACGAGCAGTTCTTGGTGGCTCCTGGGTGAGGACTGGTCGCCACACACCTGAGCCATATTTAGAAGCTTGAAACTTTCAGCCCCACTCCCCATCCTCCAGAGAGGGAGAAGGGCTAGAAATGGAGTTAACAATCAGTCATGCAAATGTGATGAGGCCTCCATACAAATTGAGGTTCAAAGAGCCCCTGCTGGGAGGGTGGCAGACACCAACTCCACGGGGACAGAAGTTTCTGAGCTGAGACATCAGGGGTTCACCTGTGCATCCCTTCATCAAGCTGTTCACACGTCTCCATATAATAAACTAGCAAATGTGAATAAGTGTTTTCCTGAGTTCTCTGAGCCAGTGTATCAAATTACTGAGCCCGAGGAGGGGGTTGTGGGAACTGTGATTTACAGACAGTCGGTCAGAGTGCAGGTGACAAGCTGGGACTTGTCACTGGCCTCTGAAGTGGGGGCAGTCTTATGGGACTGAGCTCTCAACCTGTCAGACCTGATGCTGCCTCCAGGTAGATGCTGTCAGAACTGAATGGAATGTGGGACCCCCGGTGGAGTGTCAGAATTGTGTGGCGCCGAGGCATGACCCCACACGCGTGATGTCAGAAGTACTGTGGGAGAGTAAGGGAGACACGCAGGGGTGTTTTTCCTGCATGGTGGCTGAACCACTTGACTTTGCCAGGCAGGCCTTTGTCGAGGTGTTAGTCAGCTCATCCCCGGCTGTCGTGGCTTGTGTCCAGAGCTCAGGGCCTCCTGTCAACGACAGAGCACCAGCTTTCAGCTTATCCTCACAGCAAGTGCATCCACGGTGCTTTCTCTCGGTGTGTTAATCTTGTCCTCGTATAGAAAACGAGGCTGGAGAATACAGATGAAATTGGGAGGGCTTCAAAATTCTGTCTTAGACAAGAGTGCATGTCTGTAAGAACCCATGTAGAACTGCTCAAAGGCCATATTCTGTGACCCTGACCCTGGGTTTCTGACCTTGAACCTGAGTATAACCAAGGTTAAGTCTAACTCCAGACAGAGCACATGTTCTCTGCAGATGCCAACGCCCAACAAAGAAAAGCCAAACTGAGTGTGGCCAGTCTGTTCTTACTAATGTGCCCCCTTAGGGTCATGTCTTTCCTTGACAATAGTGACATGAGGATTATGGGGAGAATTCAGAAGCACAATTCTAGGCAAATCCCTCCCCATGAAAACACGAGGGGTAATAAAGACCTGCTCCCGCTCTGAGACCCGGGAGGTAGGAAGAATTTACAGCGCAGTGCACCCCGTGTGTACCAGCTTCTCGAGTCTGTCACCCACCGCCCGCTGCCATGCCCTGTCTGCCTGTCCACCTCCCCGGTGGTTCACATTTGAATTCTTAATATCGTACTGAGTGTGTGCTGGGATATACTCAACGACTGGCTCTCTGGGGGGAGGAGTGTGCATACGCATGCCCACATACGTTTATAATAAGCTAACCGTTACAAAGGGTGTGTAGTACACTTGACAAATGATGAGATATACGACATTCTCTATCATAATTTCTATACAGCCAACTAATTTTCACAAATCACTTTCTTATTCTGAACCCTTGGATCTTAGCCCAATCTGCAGTTGCAATTCTGTCAAGATTTAACAAAACCCAACGATGGATAAATGCTGGACTTCTGATGCCATTACTGAATGGATGTGGCCTTAACGTGAATGTTTGACACTTGTGTTTCTATGAATGAGTGAGATGAAAGTGAGACAATGGAGACTAGTTGGAGTTAGTTCATCAAGGACAAGTGACTTATTGCAGAGCTGGACAATCGTTTTCAGACACTAGAAAAACATATTTCCTTGTTTTTTGTGGTATTTAAAATGTAACGGCACATATACATTTAATCTGAAATAGTAACATTTCTCTGTCATCTTAAGTCTAGACCAGGAGTTGTCAACCTCTTTCTGTAAGAGGCCAGAGAGGAAATGTTTTAGGCTTGTAGCTTTTGCCAAGTTCTGTGCTGTAGAAACTCCCACGATGCCAGGCTGCACACGACGAAGGGAACGTCCCTAAACGTGGCGATGGGAGGAGGTATGCAGCAGGCCTTCATGGAATGTTTCCACCGCACAGATGCAGTCAAGGTCAAAAACCAAGGGCATAGGTAATAGTTGGGTGTAAGAAAATAATTAAGCAGTGGTTTAGGTATTTTAGTTTTATTTCAAATGTGATGTAATTTGATAGAATTTACTTTTTAATAATGGTTGCATTGAACGACAAGCTTACTGAATTGCTGAATTTACTAGTTGGCTGCTATGAGCTTGTACAAGCCAGCCCAGCTCACTGCTTTCAAAACAATGGACATTATTCTAAGCTTTTTGTATGCATTCACTGTAACCCTCATAATAGCATTGTGAGAGAAGCACTGTTTCTATCATATTAATACATTAGTGGAAAGTGGGGCACAGGAACTAACTGACACCTTACTTAGGAGGTGTCTCAAACAGGCATTTTAACTTGCTAGCTTACTCCTGGTCCTAACCTTCACGCTCTCCTGCACCCCATAGTAGGTGATGTCTCGCTTAGACCCAATTGTACAGTTAGCTGCATTGGGCAGGATGGGAGTAGGGGCAGTGCTTTGTAGGTTAGCGCCTGTTATTCATTCACATCTAAAAAGCCACACTTCATAGCGTTTCTGTACCTGGTCCCTGTCTTATTGGTGCCTTCTAATTGTAGGTCTCCTCACCGTCCATCCATTCTGCTGACAACCTCTCATGCCACTGCTGTGGTGTCCCTTTAGCTCCGTGTCTGCTTTCCTATAGCAGTGCCGGTCCTGGTCCCTTGTCCTGCAATTGACTAACAAAGAAGGGCTGTGAATCGGAAGTTGCAGATCTGCATTCAGATGCAAGCCTTGCCACTTACACGTGTAATTTATAAAATGCAGTGAGTGTCTGACCTTGTCAGCTGGTTATATGGACTACATGAGCTCCTACGACAGACACAGAGCTCGTACCAGAGTAAGGCATAATGGGAAGTAATCATGCAAACAAGGTGTGTGGCCTGGTCTTTGTTAGAGACTGATCTTTACATCCCCCAGTGATCTTCCTTCTACCCTTAACCCAAAACTTAAGAAAGCGCATTTGCTTGCCCTTTCTAATGGGACTTACTTTCCTCCTTACAGTCTGCTCAGCAAACGTGGACATAGCAACTGGGAACTTGTTCTGGGTGGCCTGTGACCGAAGCGTTATTCAGAGAACTAGAATTACTGGCCCAGACACACATACACTCTACAGAGCGAGCAGCATTATACTTCATCTTCTTCTCAATTGGCCAAAGAGGGTGCTCTACTGGGTGGAAAGTGGGAAACACTTGCAAAGTATGACCCTTGATGGCAAAAACAGACGGGAAGTCTGGAGAGGCACCTGGACAGCAGACACCCACATGGCCTTAGACCTCGGCTCATCCAGCATCCTCTGGACCACCAAAGGGCTAGGTGAGCACCACGCAGCCAGTAGATGGAAGGAGCTTGAGGGGATGGTGAGAGTCTTGCTTATAGTATAACGATGCTGGTTGTTCTTAGAGCTAGGTAGATATAAGCTGAAATTCTGTTTTTCACAGTTCAAGGCTGGACACGAGTCACTTACAACAAACTCAGTTCTTATGTATATGTCTAGATTTATTATTTAAAAGATAAAACACCAGAAGTAATATACTTAATAACTTTTTGCAGTTTTCAAAGTTTGCTTCTGCCTCTATAGAAGAAATAATGAAACCAAACTCCCATTGCAAGTGAAATACAGGTGCTTCGGTTATAACTTGGTAACAGGTACAAGTTATACGGTGCAACCCGACTTGATAGTCTCCTCACTGAAAAACCAGCCCTGAGGCCTAGCAGCTCCGTGCCGATGACCAGGTGCTTTAGGGCAAACACGGAGGACGATAAGGTCACATCTGATGTGCCCACATGGCAGACCTCGGCCTGTCCCTTTCCTAGAGCTTTCCACACTTTATTGGACTATCTTTAACTATAAAGCTAAACCTACAAAGCTTAATAGGGAGAATCTGTGCTTATTTTCAACTTGGGGTCACTGTACCTCAAACAAATCGTACCCCACTGTCACTGGTTATTTGTTCTGTGTCGACTTGCAAGAGCTTGCCTCTTCCTCAGGGCTGCAAAGTCTAAGTCTCCTAAAAAACAGAACGTATGTTCTGAACAAGACCTGGAGTGATGGCGTAATAGCTGCCCATGAGCCCTACCTGGTGACAACGAGTGGAGCAGCTCTTGTGCTCTGGAACAGGAAGACGCTGGAGTCCTTCTCGGTGTCCAAAGAGCCACACGTGAGAAAAGTGGTCATTCTGGCTGAGAGCCAGGAAGTCCCAGGTGAGTGAGTGTTTTTTTGTGAAGTTTATTCCCTGAGATCCACCTTACCTGGCTCTTCTCGGTGTGTTTTGATAGGATGACATCCTAGGCATCTTAATGCTTGTGTGGCTGTTGTCCAAACCCACAGTTCAGCAGGCCTTTTCCTTAACTTGTCCACACTCCCGGAGATTAAGACGCGAACCTGGTTTTCAAAACTGCTAGGTGACAAAGGCCCTGGAGCCACTCTTCAGGAGAGGTCAGCACGCTGTGTCCCTTCTGACAATCGCCTTGCACATTAGCACATTACAGCTCTCAGTCTGGCAGTGAGGAGATCCACTGAATTTGCTCTAAAGCAGTTTCCCAAACTGATCTCACTAAGGAACCCCCTTTCTCCGTAGCAGTAACATCTCGGGGAGGACCCGAGGCGAAGCTGCTCTGGGGCTGAGGAGACCGAGATCAGCAGTTCTCGCTTTCTGTAGAGGCTGCACCTTGTCATTCAGGTGGACCTGCCTAAGGCCGGTTTACATTTTTCCCCCATGTAAGCCTTTGGCATAGAGCGCAAAAGTCTGATCTTGGACCTTGAGGCAGAAAAAGAAATCCTATCACAGGAGTCAGGGGTCTTTGTCAGCAGAAGCAGCTAGAAGTCTGAAGGAAGAGTGGACGTGAAGAGGGACGGAAGCCTTTCTCTTTAATGTACCCAACCCATAGTGGTCTCTCATATCCCTCTTCTGTCTAAAGTGTCTTACTTTAAAAAAGAGAAAGAAAAAGATTTTATTTGGGGGGGGAGTGGAGAAGGAAGGGAGAAAGAGCGGGATAAAAACATCAATGTACAATAGAAGCCTCTATTGGCTGCCTCTCTCACACCCCCCAACCTGGGGGCCCTGCACTGCAACCCAGCATGTGTCCTGACAGGGAATTGAACCAGCGACCTTTTGGCTCACAGGCTGGCTCTCAACCCAGTGAGCCCCACCAGCCAGGGCTAAATGGTCTTACTTTTGGATTCACTGGTTGGTTTAACCTGATATCAAAGGTTAAGAAACATTAGGCATAGGAACATATTTCTCAGGTGGTAAAGTGTGTCAGTAAACAGGCAACTTCTTGGTAACAAACCCAATTTTGGTTATTCTACTAACAAATCTGTTAGGTTGCTACGATAGTTGCTAGAGAGTATTAACTGGTTGTTTTTCATAGCATAACTTACACATCTCCACAAGTCAGTGCTCACGTTATACCGGTCCCTGTCCTGGACCATAGCCTATAGCAGGGAACCAAAGAGAGCGAGTCTCTATCTTTAGAACTTACTTTATTTTTTATTCCCAGGATATAGCATTAGGTGGTGAAAAAATAAGATTAATAAGGTGAAAAAATAAGGTTAACAGATCTAAAAGGAAAAAACAATTTGCCAAATTCAAAGCCAATAGATGATGGGCGAACGTACCACACTTAATGCAAAGAAAGATCTAGGCTTTGGGTCAGTTTCGCTTTCTCTTCCTCTGAGAGGGAGCTGTAGTCCCCCAGCTGATGGACTGACTTGCTGAAGCAACTGCTTGTTCTAGATCCTGAGACTGAAGGAACAGCCACGATCGCCCCTCCTCCTCTTCCTCCACTGCGCCCTCTGCTTTGCACCAGATCCTCCGTCCCCTGTCGGGACGGGAAAGGATGCATTTCTCGAGAGAACCTCTGTGACGGGGCGCGTGACTGTCAGGATGGCTCTGATGAAGAGAACTGTCCCCGTTTCTGCAACAGACCAGGTCTGTCACCAACTCTTCTTCTCAGCTTTTGTGCCAGGTACCCTGAGCAAAAGTGTGGTTTGAATTGCTAGAGTGCTTATCATACTCATGCTTGCTTTCCCGAGGTAAGTCACCGTAGATAACTGTCTGTCTGAATACTGATTCTGTGAGCCTTTCTTTCTTCTTTGCTTCCTCACATTTGCTTAAATGCTCCAATATTTGCCTTCACCTGGGCTGAGCCACAGAGTGACCCAGACGGACCACTTGGTAGTATTCTAACAAGTCACTGAAAGAACCCAACAAATGGGAGGCCATATTTAAACAGCCTGGGCTGGCTTGCTAACTTCATTGGCCAGAACGCTATATGAAAGCTTGCTATGGGTCAGTTGCGAAATAGAGCTCAAGTAAGATGCAGTCTCTGGACACCCCAAACTCCAGAAAGAGGGTGAGTTCATTCAATTGTGAAGCTTTAGTGGGAGTGTTCGGTGCTAGTGTTTGGCCCTTCCCGCTTCAGGGGTCTTCCAGTGTCTGGATGGAAGCAAGTGCATCGAGGTGAAATACCACTGCGACGGGGCTCAGCAGTGCTTGGATGGGTCGGACGAGTGGGACTGCTGGAAGCCCACTGAGGACTGTTCTCTGCGCTGTGACAACAAGACCCGCTGCATCCCTAAGAGCTGGCTATGTGATGGCAAGCTGGACTGTTCTGACAAAAAAGATGAACAAGGATGTGGTAAGTGCAGTGAAATTTCCTTAGAGTGCTTTAAGCTACGTCCGTTGATTCTCCTGATTCCTGGTAGTGAAGTCCTATGAAGTTGCCATAAACACTGAATTAGTGATTATGGAATCATTGCTCCTAGAAAAAATACAGGGTGAGGTGTCTGCAAGTCTCTGGGCACATGTTTCGAACCAATCAATATACAACATTATTTTAAATGCTTCTGTTTAAAGACAACTTAACATATATCATTGTCTCATTAACATTGAAGTCACAGCCACCGGCACTGCATCTCATGCCTGGAGAGCCGCTCTAACACACGTAGCTTCTCCATAAGGCCCATCATAGACTTCTTGCACTTAGGAACCCTAGGCTGTGCTTCAGCACTTCACCTGGGGGGCATTTTAAGGAGCAAAATCACAAAGAAGTACAACAATGTGAAAAGCGTGGCCCTACAGAGACTGCAAAGGGGACACATAGGCACAGTCTGAGAAGTGACAGCAGAAGGCAGAGCATTGCCTTCTTCAACCTCGACTGGGAACACACGTGTGAGGCAACTCCATTTTTTTCCTGTTTTGTGTATCTTGGCAAATGAGCATGAGATTGTAGCAGTATCAACTTTTGGGGTCACAAATACATTTAAGCAAGAAGATAAACACACAAACACTGAATCCATATAATAAAGATTGATTGTAGCTGCTACATAGTTAGCAGACGAAGATGCAAGTTTCTGAGTGGCAGGGACCTTGAAGATCGTGCTATAACTTCCCTCCTTGCGTGACCAGGAGGTTTCCGTTAGTGGAAAACCAGGCTACTACCAAAATAAAGTATTATTTCTCAGTGAGAGAAAGTCACTCTCCCCAGTGGTTTTCACCATGGTCCTGCATCTTCTCGTGAGATGGGCCGTCCCATTTGTAGGTGTCATTGCTTTCCCTTCATTTCTTATGGGATATACAGTCTTTATTTTTATTCTTTCCCAATGAGACGTTTCAAAGACCTTAATCATGTTATGGGATATGGGTAGAGGAGAGAATGTGGAGAGTGGGAAGGCACCATGGTATGTTTAGATGCAGAGGTGGCTGGTTAGCCAGACGACATGCCTGCCCGGGGCTTGTGGGGACATCAGGAGGACACAGACTCAGGAAGGAAGTAGGGAGGTACCCGAGGTATAATTTACTCTTCAATATATATTTATAGTTTTGCCCAGGATCTCACCCTTTTTCTTGAGCCAAACCAAACAACTTCTGTCTATAGAAATTGAGTCTAAGAAATTTCTGAGTCTAAGAAATTACAGAGCGTGTTGGCTATTGTGGGGAATTTCTTTTTTTCACAGATGACATTAAGGTCCCAAAGGAGAACCCTGCTTTCCGTCATATCCCAGGGTTCTTCCACCCCTGTCCCTCTGCCCTCATTCTCCAGGACAGAAGGATTTTCTGGGCTAGTTTCATAGGCAATGTCTGACCTAACACTCTACTCGGACCACCTCTCTGCCCTAACACCTGCAGGGGCTTAGTTCCCAAGATACCAGGGAAGACCAGGGAGCCTTTGAACCACTTTATTTGCCACCCAATCACTTCTACATCTGGCTGATAAATAAAGCCTCTTAACTAAAGCTTTACTTTTCAGCCCGTGAAAAATGCAGTATGTCGGAATTTAGATGTGACAACGGTCAATGCATATCACATTCTCTGCGTTGTGATGGGAACCGAGACTGCCAGGACCGCTCAGATGAGGAAGGCTGTCCTGTTGCCTGGCCCCTGCGGTGCCCGCCGGGGGAGGTGAAGTGCCCGAGAAGTGGAGAATGTGTGCTGGCTGAGTGGATATGCGACCACGACTTAGACTGCAAAGATGGAAGCGATGAGAAGGTAGTCACTGTTCTTTCGGAAAAAGAGAGTCGATTTCTAATCACAACAGTAACACATGCTTCCCTGTAGAACACTTGGAAAACACAAGCACAGAAAGGTCGTCCATAATCACCAGGTGGTAAGCCACTCATAGCTGTATCAAAGTGCCAACACCCTCTGTGAAAGTCAGATTTCCAAGAGGTTATTTATTGTAGGAGACTTGCAAGTGTTAGGCCTCAACATGACTTAAGCTATGACTTAGATGTCCCACTCAGAGATGTGCTTTGAAGCTCTGCTTGCCTGTCACCATGGAGTACAACGATGTCCCCACATTGTATGCAAGGCAGCTTGGACTGGAATCCTGCTATTTGCACTTGACCTTAAGAAAGTACTTACTCCCTCGTGTTCCATTTCCTCATTAGTAAAATGGGCATAAGATGTGCCTCGTAGTGTCTGAAGGGTTGAGAGTGGGCCTGGGCTGTCGCAGGTGCATGATGTTCCCTCCTTTCCTCTTGTCCGTCCTGCGCAAGACCTGAGTTTCCAAATCAGATTAGGTGCAAAATCACTATTAATGTGCTGGGTGTGTGTTAGACAAGGTGGGAAGGATTCTAGAGAGGAGCTTCTAGAGCGGATCCTTCTGCTTACGCCTCTTAAATTAACTTTCTAATTTGACAAAATAAGACATTTCTTCCCTTTTCCCATTCGTATTTCTATCACCTAGAACCCCTGGCCTAAACTCCAGCTACAAGAAGAATTTCTCATAATTCCTGTCCCTTCTGAGTTTCTAGGATGTGCCCGGCCTTGCTGCAGAAGGGTCTTGGGGATTGTCACCTAAACACAGGCGTCTTCCTCCGAAAACCCTTCCTGGGTGCTGAATGCAGGTGTCATTGAGTTGCCCATTGTCTCCCCAGAACTGTGACCCTCAGGGGCTTCAGTGCGGCTCTAGCCAGTGGCCCTGTGCCCGTGCGGACCAGTGCGTGCCTGACTCGTGGCGCTGTGACGGGCAGCAGGACTGCAGGGACGGCAGCGACGAGGCTGGGTGTAAGTTTGGGGGAGCTTTCTCTGAGTGGGGGAGGCAAACGACTTCAAGGGGCTCCTGCCACTTGCTTCTGCTTGGTGTGAGAAAGCAGCTCAGCAACAAACACTGCACGACCTGAAACCTGTTCTTCACCAGAATGGAGGCATCTTGAACACAAGGGGAGCCTGGGTGTGCCGGCAGGGGGGTTGTGGGGTTGTGTACCTATAAAGGTACAAAGTCACCCTCTCCAGGCCCCCCCGAGAAGTGCCAGAGCTCTGAGTTCCAGTGCCACTCCTCTGCCTGCCTCAACCTCAGCCTGGTGTGTGACGGGAAG